AGACAAGATGCATCCAGTGAGAGAGTTTTGACTATACCAGCCGTGGGCAAACTACGGCCCTTCCGGCCGGATCCGGCCCGTTTGAAATGAATAAAACTAAAAAAAAAAAAAAAGACCGTACCCTTTCATGTAATGATGTTTACTTTGAATTTATATTAGTTCACACAAATACTCCATCCATGCTTTTGTTCCGGCCCTCCAGTCCAGTTTAAGAACCCATTGTGGCCCTCGAGTCAAAAAGTTTGCCCACCCCTGGACTATACAGATACCTGTGGAATGAAAGGAAGGTGAAAGCATGCCAGTGTCACATTGTTGGTAGTATTATCCAACTTGGACAGGGATGATGAATAAGGTTTCAATGGGCAGAGGCCAGAGTGTGGGTATTTCAGGTGAAGGAAGTGTCATGAGGGAAGAGTCAGAGGTGGAAAAGCATAGAGTGCATAATTGTAGATACAAGGAACACTGGGGAAAGAAGATCATGCTGAAGGTCTGTCTAATTCAGCACAGAAAATGCTCAGAGTTGTGTGTGTTTTTTAAGATTTAGATCTTATGGTATTATAATTAAGCGGTTTGAGGCAGGAGTCTTGTGGAAGTAAATGGCAATAATACTGGAGGAGAAAAAATGATGGCCTAGATTTAGGTGACAGCAGGAAGAGTAATGAGTGGATAGATGGACACTATGGAGCCAGGCTCCGTATGGTCTATGTTCAGGGCTCCAAGTCCAATGGGAGGGTGCCAGAGGGGAAAGAAGGGATGCTTGGGACCATCTCCCCTTAGCACAGAGAGAAGCATACCACCTGCAACCTTCTGTTCTCACCCTAATGATGTTTTTTTAAGGGCTTCATAGCCATTGGAAGAAGAAGTACAAAAGTAGAAATATTATAATTTACCAAATTAACAACATTTTGTAGAGCCACCCAGTAGGTCCTCATGCAGAGAGAAGTTGGGAACACTGTTGAGTGTAGCAGAGACAATCCGGGCAGAGAATGGGAAGTAGCTGGCCTTGGCTAGGAGAGGGCCGCTCGTGATAAATTCTTCCTCAGGATCCGCCACCTGTTTTTCCTTGGGAGCTGCTGAAAAAGCACAACAGAGAATGTTCTATATCCCAATAGAGTCCCAGTGAGTGTAGGGCATGCCCTGCACCTTGGGCACCATGCCCACGCCCCTTCCCACGGATCATCTTTGGCTCTGGGAAGAGTGGTACTGTTAGTCTGTTGGAAACTTCTCTATAAAATGGCAGTTCTGACCTCCAAAGGCCACAGTCCCTACGTGTGAGTTCTGGTCTGCTGGGTGAGACCTGTTGCCACTCAAACAAGGCTATTGCCCAAGTCCATTGTGTTATCTGGGAATTGTTTCCCGGTCTCTTGGTGACCCACCAGAGGCATCACAGAGGTGCAGGGAAAGTAGATAAGAATGGGAGCCAGCCAGGAAAGCTGGCTCCTCCACTTACCAGCCCTGTGACTTATGCCAAGTCCACTAGCCTCTTAGGGACTCAGAGAAGCGTGGCTATTGTCATGCGATGATTCAAATGAAAAGGAATGTCTGTAAGCCACTAGCACAGTGCCTGTAACTAGTGTGGGCTCCTTACCCAGTAGGTGTTTCCTTCCAGCGATTTGGGGGACTTTGCTTTGTCCCCAGTCCTATTATTTACTCACTTCGCTCTTCCTGGATCTGAGATGTTGAACAAGAAGCATCCCGAGGGTCTGCTCTAAGAGTGACTGGCCCATAAAAGAAGCAAAGAGGCTTTGGAGGGTGCCGCTGCTGAAGCTGCAGAGCCCTCACCAGGCTGCTGTGTTTATCATTCATTAACAGCCGCTCCCTGGGTAAAATGTGGGTAGAGGCATTCCAGAAGAAAGGAGTAATCAGAGGGAGTGTGAGGGGGTGTGCCCCCATCTCAGCATTAGCATGGTCCACCACATCCGGGTAGTGTTGATTTCTCCAGATACTGGGCTTGCATTTCGGGATAAGCCTCAGGCAGAGAGGTCATTCTGTCATTTCCATTGACAATAAATAGTGGAGAAAGAGAGGGTGCTTTTTGAAGTTAGCTTACTTTAGTTTTTCCATGGCTCATAAAGGGGCAGAGATTTGGGGAAAGGAGGCAAATGTTTTGGCTCATGCGCTTCAACACTCTCTTCTGTTGACAAGTAGAGGGAGTCAGGTTCTCTGCATTTTGCCACTTCCTCTGTTAAATTATAAAATACTCTTTTCCATGAGCTCCAGTCCAATAGACTGAAGTCCTCAAGGAAAGTCCATAGATATGGTGACATTGAAAGCTATTATCAGAGACAAAAGGATAAGACTCTTGTATCAGCCTCAGTCTGTTTATAGTGTTTGCTTTTTGACAGACTTGACAGTGAAGGCTGGTCTTTCAAAGAACTTGGAGGAGCCCTCATAGACACAGGACTTGCATTGCTTGGGGAGAGAAGGCTACTGCCCCTTATTGTCCAATTTGATCTTTTAAACACTGCATTATCAACTGAATTTAATTAGTGAGCCTGGGGGAAGCGGGGAGAAAGCCCCTTGAGAGGGCGTGCATCAAGCCTGCAGCAGGTGTAGACTGTGGGATGCTATGGCATTGGAATGGCAAGCATTTTCGAGGAAGAAATTCTGAGAAAGCAGTTTTTGAATATTGACTTGGCATTTTCCCGTGCCTGTTCTTGGAAGTGTTTGTATTTGGCCTACAAGCTTACTGTGCAAGGAATAGCCATAGAAGGTAGCCTGTGACCAGGTTCAGTAAGAATTCATACATCAGGCATGGTCATTAGAACAGAAGTTTTCATGGGAAGTAACACTGAAGTTGGCTTTTTAGGGGGTGAAGATAAGGTTGCGAGGTGAAGCATTTAAAGACGGGGTGCTGAGGAGAAACATTTTAAAATGGAAGCACTGAAGAGGTCACCGTCTGCAGTCTCTCATTTTACACAGGCTGACCTCTAAGAGGTCAAAGGTCATGATCCCAGGTTGTGGGAGCCTCAAAAGGCAGGGAGTATAGAGCTTAGGTGCTGGGGTGCCTTGTGTAAAACGAGGGAAATAGTGAGAGGGCTATTTATGAAAAATTTAATTTAGGGGCATGTGTTCAAACTGTGTTAAATCCTGTCTTTTTAAAAATTAAATTTATTGGAGTGACATCGGTTAACAAGATTATATGCATTTCTATGATACATGATCTGTATATTGAATTGTGTCCACCACCCAAAGTCCAATCATCTTCCATCACCATATATTTGGCCCTCTTTACCCTTTACTTCCCACACCTTCTGGTAACCACCATACTATTGTTTGTGTCTATGAGTTTCAGTTTTATGTCCTACATATGAGTGAAATCATATGGTTCTTAGCTTTCTCTGACTGACTTATTTCTCTTCGTATGATATTCTCAAGATCCATCCATGTTGTCACAAATGGGATTACCTCATCTTTCCTTATGGCTGAGTAGTATTCCGTTGTACACATGTACCACATCTTCTTTATCCAGTCCTCTATGGAAGGACACTTGGGTGGTTTCCATGTCTTGGCCGCTGTGTGTGAAATCCTGTCATATAGTTGTGATATTGCCTGAAAAGCCAGCATTGTTACCCTGGCTGTTGAATAAAGGACACACTTGCTCTTATCCTGTGATTGTTTTACCTTTCACTCCTCCACCCACATTCCCTCCCAACTCACACACATCTTCAGTACATGTTTCTATGTTAATACCAGGTAAAGATCAAGCCTTTCCAAGACTGTTTGCATTTTAACTGGGACAAAAGTAAATGCATCAAGAAAAAGTAAATGCATCTAAAACATAGAGTTTTCAGGTCTCAGTGACTTCAAATGTATGAGCCTTCCTGAAATCAAGGTGTTTGAGAGGAACAGGTTGGAAGCAGGGGACACAGCTGATGTCTAAGAAGAGGGTGTTGTATGCCAGGCACTTAGTAAGCACTTCAATTTGTTAATGAGTGAAACTTTTTAGTGAATCGATGAATAAGGCTTAGGGGTGCAAAAAAAAAGGAAAGAGAAGAGAAAGAATGAAGGAAAGAGAGCCTTTAAAGAAGGAATTGATATGACTTGGTGATTATGTGATCCTAAAGAGGAGAGAGCTTTTTTTTTAATTATAGACACAACATCTCATGGCCTGGGAGAATGCCTCTGACGGAACCAGGAAACTGGGAGAGTGCTGTGTTTAATCCTAAGGGCATGCAACCAGCATTTAAGCCAAAACTTGGAACGCTCCTTCAAGCTCACCTGTTTATAAGTTACTTATATGAGTTGCGGTCCCATTTCCTGCTTCTTCTCCTTAAAGTCCTCTCTTCAACTTTCCCTCCCATTTCTGTGTGCCTGGGTAAATGGGAAAGCAGAGCTCGGTATGAATGGTGTCCTGAGATTTTTTTACAAAATGACCCATTTTTTAAATTCTTTTTTATTCCACGCTTACTCCCACTTAAATTCTTTAGAACAATGCTTCCCCTCCCCCCTCCCCCCCAAAAATATATCAGCCTTTTTATGGGAAGTTATGCTTATGGTGAATTTTACTGTTTGCCTCTCTTTTGCATGAGTATGCTGCCCTGGGTTATGGAGATAACAGACCGATTTGCCTCCTGAAGGCATTCCTCCTTGACAGACTGGTTTGCTCAGATTCGAATAAACACTCCTGCCTACGGGCCAGTAGTCTGCATTTACGAGGCACTTGGAAAACACCGCAAGCTGTGGAGAGTGACCATGAATAGCAAACTTAATTTGGTTTAATGTGTTTTGGCTTGCTTGACCTCACCAGAATAAAAATGTGCCTGCTTAAATTATTGTATTGAGAGTTAAAAAAAAATAAAATAAAACCCAGAGACATTTATCTCATTGGAAGAATCTTGGGATCGCTTTAGCAAAGGTTTAAGTCCATGTTTAATGTCAGATAGGCTTGAGAAATGTTTAACATAGAGCTTTAATCACAGATGAGGTTATTGTGAGTTTTGAATTTTAAGAGACCGAATTACAATTTTCCCCCCCTCTTGCTACTTTTCTTTTTCTAGACGATTGGCTGGCAACGACCTTTCTTTTATCCACCCAAAGGCCTTGTCTGGGTTGAAAGAGCTCAAAGTTCTGTAAGTAATGCAGTTTTAGAGTTTCACAGCTGGTTGTGTATTTTCTTTCTGCATAGTCAACATGCTTGGAGCGAGGTTAAGCACAGTTTCTTTTAGCTCAGGATTAAAAGGTTTAAGGAGTGGCCAGTGGGTTGGTGTGGGAGGCTAGAGGTTGATTTAGGCAAACGTAGGTCTAGATAACAAAAGTTAGAATCTGAATAAGAGGTCTTCTGACCTCTAGTGCATTAGAGTTGAATGTTAGACTTTTTTGTGGCTAATGCACTGAATCAAAATCACGTTTAAGCTTCGCTGTTTAGGTTTGTTTCCACATATTTTACAGCTATAAGAACGTTGAATTAGCTGGCCCTCGTGGGAAAAGGACTTACAAGATTTCCAAATATTACAGTCATTTCAGAGCTAAACGGAACCGAGGTGCTTGTGACTTCTGTAGCCTGTGAGGGATCAGGACATCAATTCCCAGCAGAGGTCAGGAGTTTGGAGTGTGGCAGGTTGAGGAACAGACTGCCAGCCCACTCACTCCTACCACTACTTGCTGGGTGACCGGGGGCAAGTCACCAGACCTCTCTGGTCCGGTGAGCTAGAGTGGCCCTTTAGCATCCCATTCTGTGGTTATGACTCACATCAGGCAGTGATTTGATTAATGTGACTAGGAATGGCTTTAGGCACAAACTAGAAGGACTTCATTTTGGGTTCTGATCTTTGCCTTCAAGCTCCAGGCCCTCGCCCTCAGATGATTAAAGCTCAGGTTCTGCCCTGGCCTGCATTCACTGAGCACACGGCTGCTGCCCCCTAAGACTCAGGGTCTCCTATTCTCTTGGCACAAGTGGCTTTACCTCATGTCTGCGATTCTGGGCTCCGCTTTATTCCAACTTGAAAAGGTATAGGGATTCCAGTGGGTGCTGTTATTCCTCCCAGTTAGCCTGTTATACCTTCCAGTGAACCTCAGCTGGGGTAATGAAGGTTAATGAGGTGCCTTCATTCCTTAGAGGAAAGCAGCCCCTGGAAACGTAGGTAACCAGGCACGTGCGTGTCAGAGGATGACTTGGGTTTCATTTCTGGCTTTAGAACCAATGTTTCTTGCCTTTTTTTTTTTTTGTAATTCTCTTGTCTTGGGTGCTTTCCACCTTGATCTCTTCCCTTTCTTGCCATTGGCAATACAATTTTTTTTTTGTGAAAGAGATGACTCTGAATTCTTTTAAGAAAAAATGGTCACAGTTGCTTATTCACTAACCAAAAATTTTCTTCCAGAACCCTCCAAAACAATCAGTTGAAAACAGTGCCCAGTGAAGCCATTCGAGGACTGAGTGCTTTGCAGTCTTTGTAAGTACCTTTTTGGTTTTCTGCGTTTTTGAATCATACGATCATCTGGCTGCAACATGTGTAAAGACCCGGAATTCCAAGGAGAGAGGGAGATTTCTCTACTCCTCTGGGATAAAAATGGGGGTGACCAGTTGCCATTATGGAAATGCCCTTTGGCGAGTGAGCAGGAGGTGGCCCAGTCTGCCTCCTCTCTTTTCTCAGGGGTGGGAGGAAGCTTTAAGTGGACACTGCTGAGTGTTATTCCACGAGCTGGTCTGTGGCAGGTGGGCATCACCCCTATGGAACCAAAGTCATGTGTGTACAGCAGTTGCAGTGTCTTGGGCCATGAAGGTCAAGGAACAGCCACAAAGAAGTCTCAGCTTCAGGTGGTGATGACAGTCAGGACAAACTGATTCGAGTTCCTTATCTGTGGACATTGAACACACACTGGGAGTGGCAACTTAATGGCCTGTGCTGCCTTCTTCCCAAGGCTCTTTGTCTTTTTGAGGAAAGGTTGGTTTTATGTGGAGTGTTCAGGATTTCAACTCTTGGTTTCTACTGTGCTCAGCTACTAATTTCCAAAGCTTTTTCATATAGCACGTCCTTTGTTCTTTTTTTTTTTTTTGCATCCTTTCTCATGTATATGCATGTGTATATGTACATGAACTTGGAGAATGGGGATCATTGCTGCCGTAGTTTGGGTATGCAAACTCCCGTTCTGCCTCTAGTGGGTGGATCGGGTGAGCAGCTTGGTATCACAGGGACCCTGCCAATCCACAGAAGGGTTTGAAGAAACAACTGTTTTTATATTGAATAACCAGGTATTAGTTAATGACTAGAATGCCTGCTGTGGAGTAGTGCCAAGGCTACACCATAGGGTAGAAAACCAAGTTCCTGTCTCTGGGGCACTTTAAAGGAAAGAGGTGAGAAGCACTCAACTGAAGCATGTGTTTATCGTAACGTGACGTTTGCCAAGATTAAGAAAAGCCCTTTGCATATTTATGTCAGAATGTTTGCATCACTTTTGAAAAGAAATCCAGGCAAGTTTGGATTTATGAGAACTCTGGTTTTGAATCCCCACTCTGATAGTTACTGGCTGTGTGATGTTGGCCAGGCTCTTTAAAATTCTCCATACAGTAGTTTGCTCATTACTTACTGTGTACTTGAATGCATGAAAAGGACGTAGGACAATACCTGACAGGTAATACGTGCTCAATAAACACTGTGGAATCTCTTAATTTAAACATTGATGGTCTATTTTATTAGTTTTTTTTCCCTTTCATTACTAGTTTACCCAATTTGCATAACTAGGTGAAGGGAACATCTTTGAAAGTAATGAAAAAGTAGTCTTCAAAACAAGGAACTTAGTTTGTTATTCTACTAGGATCACGAATACAAAGTTACAGTTTTAGTTCATGTCCAAATAAATACAATGGGACTAAGGCATAGTTTCTCAAAGTCTGGCTCTTTGACCATCTGTAACAGGATCGCTAGGGGGAAATGTCCCTAAAATACAGATCTCTAGGCCATATCCAAGAAGTAATGATATTTTCTCTTTTAAGGGTCCAGGAAGCTATATTTCAAAAAATTTTCCCAGGTAATCTTATGAACATGGAGGTTTTGAGATTTACTCCGAATAAAAAATTGTAATAGTTATCACATTTATGTGTTATGAGTTATAAAATTAGGTTTTAATCACAGCACCCATAGATATACTAATCTGTTCCTTAATGGGGTTTTTTTTAATTGATTGCCCTTTAAAATAACTATAAATGGAAACTTTTGTAGGAAATGCATGTGAATTGTAGAAGATTTAGATGAAAGCAATCCAGCTGCTTATCCCATCCACTTGCTAATATAAAACCATTTAACTGCACCCAAAACACTTCCCTGGAAATTGTAAATTGTAGATTAACTTTTGATTTTAGATTATCCTAGTAGTTAATGGAAAGTGAAAATAACAATATGCACTAATAAAGCATATCTTATGCTGTAACAGTTAAACTTTACAATGCATCTAGTATCATAGATAAAGAAAAGAGTATCTAATGTCATAAAAAAGGAGTCTATGGGGTATCAACCACTTAATGTTCAAAACTGGGGTGAAGGGTGGGAGTGAGGAGAGGAGTCCAAACAAAAATTTTTTTAAAAGGGCATCAGAATGCTTTTACATGTATCAGAAACATACGGAGCTATGGGTCAGGCCTGTTTTATTTGAGAAGGAAACGCTCTTGGGTTTGTTAGCATAATGGGTGTAGTGGTCAAGTCAGCTACAAT